AGCTCACTTCTCCTGGCTTGCTGTCTGCTTTCTTATACAGGCCAGGACTACGGGTCCAGGGAAGGCACCACCCACCTCGTGCAGGCGCTTCCCACGCCATCACTAATTAGGAAAAGGCCCCGCAAGATGGCCTACCAGCCACTCTTAGGGAAGCATTTTCTCGGCTGTGGCCTTTTCTCAGGTATCTCCAGCCTGTGTCAAGTTGACAAGAAATTAACCAGGATACCTACCATGCACAAGGTCCTGGGTTCTAGCCTGGGTACCACACACATACGAATTCCCATGTTCTGATAGTTAAAAGAGTTAGAGCTTCGGGTTTCTGAAAACTCTGTCACTCAGAAGGTGGCGAAACAGATCCTAATAAAATTTGTCTAAAACAGCTCCTTCCTATTATAGAAGTTATTTTAGTACATAGATGTAATTGCCTGCCATAGGTTTCAGGACAATTCTAGATGTTATCTCAAGGGAGTTTAAGTAAGCCTCTTGTGCATCTCTTCATGCCCAGTTAAATTTTCAATATTTATTTCTTGTACATGGGTGTTTTGTCTGCATGCATGCATGTGTAGAATGCATGTGCCTTGTACCTCAGAGGCAAGAAAGGGGCTTTGGCTATGACTGTGTTGGTTCTGGGATTTGATCTCAGGTCCTCTGGAAGAGTAGCCAGCGCTCTTAACCACTGAGCCATCAGCTAAGTTATAGTGTCTGTCATCTGATCAGTGGACCTGGTCATTATTTGAGTTCCATTTTCCCATTTCTGCTTCTTTGGCCCACCAGTGTGATCATTTTGGTTCCACAAGATGGTCCTGTGAGCCAAATACAGGCTTTTCCTGTACAGTTGTCCCTTGGTAATGCTTTCCTGTCAGATGTGAAATGGTGCATATCTGTACATAATGTATGTATATCCTTCCTGTACTTTAAGCCATCTCTAGATTTCATTTAATACCTAAAACAAGGCAAGTGCCATGAAATGGTTGTTTTACACACACACACACACACACACACACACACACACACACACACAAGTGTTCTGTCTACATGTATCCCTTCCCACCAAGAGAGGGCACCAGATCTCATCACAGATGGTTATGAGCCACCATGTGGTTGCTGGGAATTGAACTCAGGACCTCTGGAAGAGCAGCCAGTGCTCTTAACTCCTGAGCCACCTCTTCAGGCCCGAAATGGTTGTTTTCTGTATTGTTTAGGGGATAATATTGCAAGAAAAAAGTGATGTGTAGCATTCTGCTATAGACACAAGTGTTGCAGGTTCAAGTACACTGGGCACAAGTAAGAAGGGGTAAGGATGCTCACTAGAGTGCTGGAGAGGCCCATAGTAGGGCAGTCCTACCTGACGCCATTCTCACAGAGCGAGCACAGTGCTGGAAGGCACACCAAAACCAAGCCTTGCTGTTTTGGAACTTTCTGAAGACTCGCCCCCAGAGTCTTTAATCTGCAGCTGTCTTTACCCACAGCTGTGGCTGCAAAGACTTGGAGTTCTAACTGTGCCTGTCAGTGTGCAGAGCATCCTGTCATGTGAATGACTGCGTGGTTTAAATGAGAAGTCTTCCTCAGTCCCGGGCATTTGAACGTTCGGTCCCCAGTCAGTGGGGCTGTTTGGGGAGGCTCAGGAGGTGTGGTGCTGTTGGAGGCAGCGTGTTGCTGGAGGCGGGCTTTGAGAGCTTGCCGATTCTAGTTCACTCTCTCTGCTTCATGTTGTGGCTCAAAATGCGAGCCTTCAGCTTCCTCAAGCTCCTGCCTCCATGCCTGCTCCTTGCTGCCATGTGTCCCTGCCATGGTGGGACCAGAGCCCAAACAAACTCTTCCTTCTGTATGCCTTGGTTTTAATGTTTCATCACAGCAACACAAAGTAGCTAAAACAATGGCCACCAGAATCCCGAACTCCGGGTCATAATTTGAAGACTTACAGTTTACATGGCAGCTGCTTTAGCCAAGTTGTCATTATGTAACCATCTCTGTGTTAAAACAGTGTGACCAAGCCTCGCCCTCCCTGTCAGAGGTCTGAACTTTCTAAGGAGCATTTCAGTTCAGAGTGCTCGCTGGCCTTACAGATTCCCTACGGAGGGTTTTCCTCATCTGTGGCAGGCGCGGCAGCCATTCGTAGACACACAGCACACCAAGCAAGAGGAGGGGAGATGCAGGTAGGCCATTCCTGTAGAATGGACAAGCCAGGCACAGAAGCTGTGGAAGAGCCCTTTCAGGACGCCAAGCTCTCCAGCTTCAAGCAAAGTGAGCCAGGAATCTCAGGCAAGCCAGATGCAGCTAGCGGTGGAACTAGACACTGCATCGTGAAGGGAGGCAGGGGGAAGCCTCCACTAGTGGGCGGAGCTGAGCGCAGAGCAACTGTCTGCTTGGGTGACCTAACTCCAGCTGGGTGGACACTGAGACGACACTTACTGCCTGTGACCCCTGCCTCTAACCTGACAGTCACTCATCTCCAGAGAGAGGGGCTCTTTCCCCAAGTCTTTAACTCCCACTAACTTCCTTCTGTTTGTAACAATTTCCATCGAGTGATCCCTGTGTGTTACAAGATGAAGAAGGGGACAGCAGGTGCCGTTTTCTCTTTCTAGGTACAGGCAGGTGCCTTCATTTTTACTTTGAGATTCTGGACAAGTGTTAGGATTTCTCCAGCTGCCTCCCATTTCCCTTTAATTTCATCATTTCAAAAAGAAAAAAAAAAGGCCCAGTAGATTGGAGAGATGGCTCAGAGAGAGGTGAAGAATACAGCTGCTCTTCCCGAGGTCTTGAGTTCAATTCCCAGCAACCACATGGTGGCTCACAGCCATCTGTAATGAGATCTGGTGCCCTCTTCTGGCATCCAAACATACATGGAGGTTGAATACTGTATACATAATAAATAAATATATCTAAAAAAAAAGCCTGGCTTGGGTTTCTAACTCAGCGCCAATCCAGAGGCAGACACGTAGAGGCTGGGTCATGTAATGAGGTTGGTTCATGTACATTTATGGGGTAGAATTAGGAACAACGGCTCATATGTGCCAGGGTGAGCTTCTATAGGAAACAAATGTCTTTGAAAGACCACGGAGGATGTTTGACCACTTCCCAACTCCCAGAGGATCCGGGCTGAAGCTGAGACAGTACAGGCTCCCCCAACCCTCGGGGATTCAGCCTTCTTGCTCTGCAGCTGGGAGGTCCTGTGGGAGGACTCACAGGACCCAGGAGCCTGAGCCTTTCAAACGCAGCATCAAACAGAAGCCAGAAACAGGTTTTTTTTTTCAATGTAAATCCAAGCCCTGCACAATTAACTCCTGTAGCCTGTATAGCACTTGCAATTACCTCTCCCACACAGCTCCTGGCCCCAGGGCAGTGAAGGCTGAAGGTTCTACTTAGTGATAAACACACTTCTTCATTTAGTTAGCAAGCCTCTGAGATAGAGATTATGCCAAAGCCAAAGTGGGGATGTGGTGGGGGTGGGGTGTGTGAGGGGGTTGGGTGTGCGCATCAGTGTCTCCAGGCACAGCTCTGTGCCTTTAGTCAGAGGGGCTCTGTACCTTCTTAAAGGATCCTGCTTCTCCTTTTGAATTAGCTTGTGGATACCATGTAATCAGAGGCACTACACTGAAACCGTATCTCTGTATAATTTTGGCTTTGGGGTTTGCTGTACTACAGTAAATATTAATAAACTTGTTTACAGAGTTGGTTGTTAATTAACAAACACAAGTGATCAATTTTCCCAATGTTTCAAAACGTCCACTTCTTTGCTCGTTCTCTTCACTAAGTCAGGAAGGAAGAAAAGTTGAGGCTTTGATAATGATCTCTGGCCCCTTACAAACTGCTGAGGTGTTGCAGGTTCCGAAATCAAACCCACACGGAAGCCCTACAAACTCCTGGCGACACCATCACTGTGCTGTGGAATCTAGGAACTCCACAGTCAATCCACAGCCCAAATGCCAGCCACCCAGGACACTGGCCCTTTCCTACTCAGATTTACCTATTTATTTTACATACTCTTTAGTTTTATGTAACGTGCTGTATGTAACCCACAGCTCATGTCGTATTGTTTTATAGTTACCCGTCTTATACCTATAGCCCCTCAAACTGGAAACTCCTCTGGGAAGGAAAGGATCTCATTTAGCAAGTAGCCTCTCCCTAAGGTAGTGCGGGAGTCACCCTCACTGGGGTTTGCAGGGTGAATAAACCACTAGTGTCTATGACACTGGCCTTCCAGCAGACAGAGAAGGGTGGGTTCAGTCTCACCTCCCAAGGCCCTGGGCTCTCAGCTTCCCCACAAAACCTGGGGAGGATGCCCTTGGCTTGTTCAAAAGAATCCACAGGAATGGCTCTTTCTGATCCCATTTCCAGCGGGACAAAGTGTGCTCTGCTCCTGAGAGTGGGCCAACAATAACCCAGAATGGATTTGCATGTGGAATTTTCACACGTGTCTCACTGTGGTCGATTCATAGCATCCTCCTCCTCAATTCCTACCTGCAGCTTCAAGACGCCACATGGGATACCCACCCCCAAACACAGAACCATGAAATATAATCCGCGCATTCTAAGGGGTGTCACCACGAGTGTCTGGTGAGCTTTTTAGCATTTGAGCTGCATATTCAGGGGTGTGAGCTCAAAAGATCTTTCTCATTCAGTAGGAGTTTCCTTAACGACGCAAAGTTAGTGTCAGCACGGACCAATGGGATGGAAGGGAGGACAGAAACAACCCACGAACCCACAGACAACTGATTCTTGACTTAAGTACTGAAGAAACCACGACTAGTGGAAGAGTGGGAGGGAACATGAATACCCCCACCTCGGGAAGGTTGAAACCAGACTCCCATGTTTTACTCTACATGGGCTGAAAGCCTTAATGTCAGAGCTGAAACTCTAAAACTACTAAGGGAAAACGTAAAGAAAATGCTTCAAGATAATGGTGTAAGCACCGATTTCGGGAACAGGACTCCAACTGAAAGAAAAGAACCACGTAAGCTATCTCATTGGATTAAAAGGCTTCGGCTCCTTTCTGGCGGTGACAACCTCCCTACGAGAACATGCCTCTCGCAAAAGATCTCCTTCATCCCTCTCCTGAAGAGGAGAAGAGGAAACACAAGAGAAAGCGCCTGGTGCAGAGCCCCAGTTCCTATTTTATGGATGTCAAGTGCCCAGGATGCTATAAAGTCACCACGGTCTTCAGCCATGCACAAACGGCAGTCTTGTGTGTTGGCTGCTCCACTGTCCTCTGTCAGCCTACGGGCAGAAAAGCAAGGCTGACAGAAGGATGCTCCCTCAGGAGGAAGCAGCACTGAGAAGCACCTGATTCAGGATGCGTGGGAACCACCCCAATAAACACGTTTTGGAAAAAAAAAAGTCCTCGGTTAAGGAGCTGACCTGAAGGACAGGAGAAAAGCTTTCCAGCCATGCCTGACAGGGGCTAACATCCGCAGTGTACTGAAGACAAACAAAACCACTGGGAGCCGTCGGGTAAGAGCATGCAGCCAGCTAGAGGATCTAAGTTCGGCTCCCCGCACCCACATCAGGCTCACAGCTGCCTGTAACTCTGGTTCAAGGGGATCCAGAACCCTTTTCTGGTCTCCACGGACACCGTACTCATGTACACAACCCTCCTCATAGTTAATTTTTAAAAATTTTTATTTTTCAGCTCAGGGTTTCTCTGTGTAGCTTTGTAGACCAGGCTGGCCTCAAACTCACAGAGATCCACCTGCCTCTGCCTCCACCTTCTGAGTGCTGGGGTTAAAGGTGTGTGCCCCCATGGCCCGGCACAGTTAACATTTTTAAGTGGCTTCAAAGCCAACAAAACCCTCAAAAACATAACAAACAAACAAGTAATGCAGTCGATACATGGGTAAATTACCCAAACAGATACTTTTGAGAAAATGTTCAACAGCTTTAGCTATCAGGGGAATGCAAATTACAACTACACTGGTAAACACACGCTAATCACAGCACATCAATGTGGGATAGGAACTCTTGCATATTGTTGGTGGGAATGTAGGTCAGTAAAACCACATGGAAATCAATATATGGTGGTTTTCCCCAAAACACTAAAAGTAGTCCAACCGTATAATCTGGCTCCTGGGTATACACCCAAAGTCAGTGTACAGCAGAGATGCCCATACACCTACGATTCCAGAGCGGCTGTTCACAGTAGCCAAGTTACAGAACCAGCCCAGCAGTGTGGCAACAAATTAATTAGATAAAGAAAATGTGGTAGGCAGACATAACAGTGGAGTACTATTTAGCTATAAAGGATAACGAAATTCAGTCACTTGGAAACAGAGTAAGTCATTAGAAAAATGGAATAAACCGGGGGTGATTGTGTTAGGTGAAATAATCTAGACCTAGATAAACCAATGTGCTCTCTCTCTCAATGTGGAAGCTAGAAGTTTTAAACACCATGAGAGTGGACAAGGAAGCCGTCTGGGGGGGGGAGAGGACTAGCAGAAGAGAGAGGAGCTAGGGAGAGTAGTGTGGAGGAGGCCGGGAGATCAGAACACAGCACACTGACCCATGTTTGCAGAGATGCCCCGACAGTGATGGGTGGGGGCGTCGAGCAAAATGAAACACTAAGATTCCACGTGCAAACCTGATACTCTGGAAGCTAATCTAACAATAAAAATAAAACAATTTCAAAAGGCAATTCCCCAACAAAATTCATTATTCTGTATACTAAACCCAAAGAGTTACCTTTAAAAAGAAATCCTTTTTCAAGAAAAAGAAAGAAGACCCTGAAAATTCAAAGGGGCTACTGGGAAACAAGGGAGGTGAGGAGACCCAGGAAGGGGGGTTGAGATGGGAGGGAGGTGGGACTGAGGGGTGGGAAGGGCGGGTATGACCAAGCAAGGTGTGTGTGCCAGAGTGTCAGTGTGAAGCCTGCTAACGAGTAGTTAACTGTATTGAGTTTAAGAGACGTGTGAAGTGTCCCCGAGTGCACCAGAGGAGGCCTGGAGAGTAGTCCCTGTCCCTTCCCAGCTCGGGCACTGGGCTTCATTAGCTTTTAATGACAGCATCCTCTAAGAACTGAGAAATGGCTGTGGGGATTTCACCTCATTCTGCAGTCTGGAAGTGACAAGAAACTGCGGGCAAGTGACCCGGGGCACTGGCACACGGATGGGGCAGTGACAGATCTCTGTTACCTCCGTTAGGTGACAGGACTGTGGCCTGCAGGCAATAAGAGCTAGCTGGTATTGAGCAGAGAAGTGACATCATCGATTTGTGTTTCAGAAGATCCCTCTGAGAGCAAAATGGATGACCAGCGGAAGGAAAGTCTGTGGCCACGGCAATTCCCCAGAGGCTGCGACAATAGCAGTATTCTAAGGAAAAGCGGCTGGGCAATCTTGAAAGGCAAGGTGGTAAAGAGGACCCAAGGGGAGTCCAACAGGACTGGTGACTACCCAGGTTCTAGAGAAAGAACACCAAAGAAGCAAAGGCAACACCTTTGTGGAGAGCAGCTACACCCCATCAACTTAAACTTAAGACCCAGCCGTCATTTACGAAGCCAGCTTCCCTGGGCTGTGTGGCTAGAAATCAAAGACTTATCATAAAGCTAAGTGAATTCAGTTTTACTTACAAATCCTAGGGCGATGGCTAACAGTGGTTACTAATACAGAAAAACGCACAACAGAAGACATAAACCAACCACTTAAGTGCCCATGTGATATTTCAAAATAGGAAAAAACAACAACAACAAAAAATCCACACAGATCTTTCTTGCTACAAATAGATTGTCCACATGTCATTTCAACTGAGTCTTTACCTTGCAACAGTGACATTCCTCAGACCCATCCCTGTTGGATGAGGAGGGTGACACACTACTTCCTTTTTTTTTTAGGGCAGATTTCCCGCTGGTCGGTAAGAAACAGCTGAGGAGAAAACCCTGAGGGCAAGAGACTAGAGAGCTAAGCGGGACAGAGGGGGGTAGCGGAGGCCAAACCATTGCAGACACACAGCTGGGCTAAAAACCCGGTGCACTTCAACGGCGCTAGACTGAGTCTGACGGTGTTTTCCTCTCTCAGAAACAATGCTGAGTACAACCGAGAGAGAGGGAGAATCCACAAGCAGAAGCCTCTTGTTAGAGCTAAATCAGCAATAGGACCAGAGAGTTGATCTTACCATGTTTCAGATGTAGGCAGCTGTCATTCTGGGACCTGTACCTGCAGAAAATTGTGCCTTTAACAAATTTTTGTGGAGAGGTTTCTGTACATCCCAAATACGTAGTAGTAGCTACAACATGGTGTGGGCCTGTGCGCTTTGCTTTCTATGGCTCCCATTGTGGCCATTTCTGTTTGTGCGGCACACGGGGTGGCCTTCCGATACAAAGGAAAAGGAACCAACGTGGGACCTCACTGACTCCTGCAATCAGTGCAAGCACTGCCATTGTGGGTTTAGTATTAAGAACCTAAAACGCGTAAGAGACTCTCAAGGGAATACAAGGTTGCACGTTGTACTGTCATCATAAAAGTCACATTTTTAAGGACTATGCAAACGGAGCAGAGGCAGAAGCAAAGAGGACACAGACAACAGAAGGAGACAGAGAAAAAAAATCAGCCGCAGCTCCTAACTATGACTCTGGGGCACGGACACGGGAAGGAGTGTTTTTACAGGAACCTTCACACTTAAAAGGAAAAGTGTTTTTGAAACGTTAAGGCATTTCAGGAAAGAAAGCTGAGTGAGGGGAATCACAGTCACAGGACGAGGCAGCGTCTAGGAGGGTGTGGACTATTTACAAGGAGTCTGGCGGAAGCAGAAGTGCCAACAGCAAGCCACGTGGTACCTACCTGAAGTGGATTCCTGTAGTTTCTCTCTCTTCCTCTTCTTCTTCTTGCCCTGGAAGGACAGAGGTACAGTGTCAAGACAGGGAGTGGAGGGGAGGCATGCAGGTGTGCACCGTACGAGAGGCACAGTCAGAAGGTGGCCGGCCAGCGAGCCCCCCAGAATGACAGACTTTCAGTATGGCTGCACGTGCATGCGTGGGACTCCTGTGTTCCTGCTTCCTTGGCTACCCCTCCTCCTGACTGCCGTGGTCAGAACATGCCTCAGGTGGTGCCCACGCTGAATCTGTGAATGGTGTGAAATGCACTACACAATATTGTATGGCCACAGTGTCAACCGAGTGCCCGGATCCCCGAGGCAGAAGCAAGCTGTAACCAGGGAGAGAGGGAGGGGAGGAAGCGGAACCCGGGAAGCTGAGACCTCTTCTGCTACACCCAGATGTGGCACTGACACAGGAGCGACTTTAAATACGTTTCCAACACACCTCAATGACAAACTAAAAAAAAAATCTGGTCACATTTTAAGCAGCTTAAAGTTTTCATTTCCCTTCAAACTACTTCCGCTTCAATAGGCTACAGCCACAGCCAACTTCCACGAATCGAATCGTAAGCGGCTCACCTGTGATAGGTATTTTCAGCTGACTAATGACATCCACTGTGTATTTATGGACCTCAGAGTTTTATGAAGTTCACTGACACTTCCTAATCACAAAGGGAACTGCCCAGATCAAAAGAACATCATCTTTAATCTGACCAGAGGTGTTCCAGGGGAAGAAGGAAGGGTGCAAGCTTCAGGCAGCCATCACCATCCTTCACGCAAACGGAGTTCCCGCAGTTTGGGATGTTCCGGTGACAAAGTGAGGCTGTTTCCTGTTGGGGCCCTCTGCACTTTTCCCTCCTGCTCCCACTTGCTTGGGTCTCAAGTGTCACCTCTTTCAAGAACGTTCTCTGTCCCATGCCTCGTCCCTCTTCCTTAGGCACAGCTGGGGCTCCTCTGCTGAGCAGATTCCTGGCTGAGCCTCTCCTCCCCCGGCCCCCTTGCAGCCAGCCAGTGTGTAGAACTCTAAGAGTCGCTGCTGCTACGATTGTGTGGTAGTTGAGGTATAAATAGGTGAGGTGAGAGATCCCACACAGAATGTATGGAGGACAAAGAGGGACCAGTTTGGAAATATTAACTGATTCATGCACAATTAAATACTTTTTGTCAAAATTACAAACTACGTGATCCTGGGAGGCAGGATAACCTCTCTTAAAAGAAAAATCTATGTACTGTTGATTCACAAAAACTTCATATATTAGCCCAAATTATGGAAGCAAACTTCAATTGTAAAAAAATCAACGATGCCACTGAGTGGGCCATTTCAATGCTGAACCCAGATGTAGGTTTAGTGATCTCAGAGGCCCAGGAGGCATCCTCACTGTACATCCTGGTCCTGATGCTGACCTCCTGCTGGGAATACTGTCTGCAGAGGGTGCTCTCACAAGACTCTGCTTTGCCTTAGCCATCGATGGGATGCTTATAAAAGTAGTATCAACGAAGGTGGGCTGGGTTTCCC